GCAGACAATAAAATTCTAAGTGAATGTCAATGCAGCTTTCAAACTAATCATTCTACGGAACATGCAACCTTAGACCTAATGGACAACATTAGCTCGTCATTTGATAAAGGAAAATTTGTATTGGGAGTTTTTATCGATCTTACAAAAGCTTTCGATACTGTCAACCATAAAATTCTCCTCGAAAAAATGAGAAAATACGGTATAAAAAATCAAACTAATAAATGGTTCACTAATTATTTAAATAACAAGCAACAATGTGTTATTATAGACGGTATCACTAATACGGAGTTATTAAAAATCAAATGCGGTGTCCCCCAGGGATCTATTCTTGCACCTTTATTATTCCTTATCTACATTAACGATCTTCCTAAAGCCTCTACAAATCTCGATTGTATAATGTTTGCAGATGATACCAATCTGTTCTATTCATCTACCTCTATCAATGACCTCTTTGATAAAGTCAACTTTGAACTTCAAAATCTTAAAACATGCTTCAGTGCTAACAAGTTATCATTAAACGCGCAAAAAACTAAATATATTTTATTTCACTCAAAGAAACAGAAGAACAAACTACCATCAATTCTACCGACACTAAGTATTGACTACAAAAAAATTGAAAGAACCCAAACAATTAAATTTCTTGGTGTGATTATTGACGAAAATGTTTTATGGACAGCTCATATAAATGCCATCAACACTAAAATATCTAAAAGTATTGGTATACTTTTTAAAGCTAGACCATTTTTATCGCAAAAAAACCTAAAACTTCTTTACTTTTCCTTTATACATAGTTATCTCACATATGCCAACATAGCCTGGGGAAGCACACACAAGACAAAATTAATATCTCTTTATCGACGACAAAAACATGCTTCTAGAATAATACATCATAAAAACAAACTGACCCACGCTAAACCCCTATTAAAAGAAATGAAAGCACTAAACATTTACCAAATTAATATCTACGCTAACATTTTGTTCATGCTTAAATACAAACTAGGATTAGTTCCAAACCGATTCACAGGAAACTTTTTTCAATCTAATATCAACAAATTTAACACAAGAGCAACTGGTAACTTTATTGTACACCTGAAAAAAAAAAAAGTTCTCAATTTTCTATTTCTTATCGTGGCCCATATTTATTCAACAAATTAATTCCGAATTATACCTCGATTTCTCTCCCAGACAATATAACTTCTTTAAAGTCGAAACTCAAAAATCATGTTCTTAATATGGATAATTACCTAGAAATGTTCTAGTTCTGATGGTAAATCAAAATTTACGCTCAAATTAAAATAATCAGCAATCAAATACATATGGAAAATGTAAATTTTTGTTTAACAAATAAAGCTAGTATTATTATTATAAACCTCAACACTAACACAAAACATAGTTCAATTAAAAAGAAAAGAAAAAAAAGTTTGCAATAATAACATGTAAAACATTTCTTTAATGAGAGTCACATTGTTTATATGTGTGCTTTACGCAATACCTCAAGGTCCTCGATGATAAGACTAATCTCAGTCTTCTACGAGTTCCCTACAACAACAAAAATCTTCTTATCAACATTTAATTTATAATAGAATCTATAACCATTTTAATGAAAATAATATATTTTACACAAAACAGTTTGGTTTTCGGAAAAAACATTCAACAGAACACGCAATAATTGAAATAGTAGACCAAATTACTAAAGGATTTGGAAATAATAGCTTCACTCTTGGATTATTTATTGACCTATCAAAAGCATTTGATACGGTTGATCACCTAATTCTTTTGGAAAAAATAAAACACTACGGAGTGATAAATAAAACCTATGATTGATTAAAAAGCTACCTCACTAAGAGAAAACAATATCTTATTAGTAAGGAATCACGTCAACTTAATATTTTGTGTGCAGTTCCACAAGGGTCAATTCTTGGTCCATTGCTTTTTTTGATTTATGTAAATGATTTTAATAATGCATCAGCTAAGCTTAACTCAATAATGTTTGCTGACGACACAAATCTCTTCCTTTCAAACTGTGACATTAATCAATTGTATTCTGACATGAACTCTGAACTAATAAATGTAGATGAATGGTTTAATGCAAATAAACTTTCACTCAATGTAGATAAAACAAAATATACTTTATTTCATAAAAAATCACAAAATGAAAAACTTCCTTTAAAATTACCTGATTTGATTTTAAATGATGCACTAATTAGTAAAAATGGTTCAATAAAATTCTTGGGAATTCTTATTGATGAAAATCTATCATGGCTTCGCCATATTAATTATATTCAATCAAAAATTAGTAAAACAATTGGTCTGATGTACCGTATTTGTCCATATGTAACATCAGAAAGTCTGAAATTAGTATATTTTGGCCTAATACATTGTTTCATATACTATGCCAATAATACATGGGCTAGTACTCAACCAAAAAAACTTAAAAAAAAATTTTCTTTACAAAAACATGCATGCAGACTTATATAAAAAAATATATATGAACATGCAAAACCATTAATGGAAGACATGAAAATGATGAATATATATGAAATCAACATTTACCAACACCTAATTTTTATGTTTAAGTGTAACAACAGCTTGATTCCAAAAAACTTTAATGATAATTTTTTTTTTTTTAAACATCTTTGCTTCCAACAAGGCTGCAAGCAACCACTAATTGTTGGAAGATTTCAAAAAACTTTAATGATTAATTTACAAAAAATGTAAACAAAAAATATTCTCTTGGAATAAACCAATGGAATACTTATAAATTACCAAGAATTAATAGTAAGTATTCTGAACATGGAACATCATACCGCAGCCCAAAACTATGGAACACTTTTCAAAAAACAAAAAATTTAAATACTGTAAAATCATTAAATTCCTTTAAGTTTATAATAAAAAATGAAATTTTTAAATTAGATAAATAGTTTTCTTGATTTTTCAAAATGAAAATCGAGTTCCATTATTCTTAGTTTTTTTACTTGTTAATTAGCTCTTATTTTGATATTTAACAGAGTTGCCAATATATTTTAATGAATATTGATAAAACTATATTATGTTATTTACTTTCTTGATTTAATGGAAATATCTATGCAAGCTTTAACCTTTTTATTATATTGGAGATACTATTTTTTTTAACTTGTAAAGCCCACCTAGGGGCTCTATAAAAAGATGCCTGTTTTTTATAAATTCCCTTTTTTTGTATGTAAACGTTTCTTTGTAACTATATTTCTTATTATATAAACAGCAAATATAAATTAAAAAAAAAAAAAAAGTTAAACTATAGTAGTGCAAGTGTATATGGATGAAGGATTAGGGAGGAATCACATCACTGCCTATTGATCTTTCTTTTGTTTTTGATTTGTGCGACTAGATGTAATATAAAATCAATCACAAGTTGTTTTCAAATATTAAAAGTATAAAAAACTATTAAAAACTATTGTTCTTTAAATTTTGCAAGTGCTAAACGTGAAGCTACGTTTAACCCTGCAAAAAAAACAGGCTAAGAACACAAAGGACAGAAAACAGACAAGTGAGATTAGCCTTACTTAATGTGTGCAGAGAAACTCCAATAAATTTTGACCATTTTGCAAAGTCAGCAAATTGTAATTTAGAAGCTTTATAATTTACAGCTTGTAAATTATAAGTTGTTAAAACTTAACTCTTTAATCTCTGTCATATAGTTGTGTTTCAACTTTAAATTACTTATTAAAGATATTTTAATTATTATTAAAGATATTTTAATAACTTAGTTAACATTGCATGCTTTTTTTTGTAAAGGAATGCAAACACAAAGTATTAATCACAAAATAAAGTTTTTCCAAACCATGTAAGTGCGAAGATGGAAGAGAGGCAATTGCCCTCTTTCTCCTATGGATTCGCCCTTGATATACATTCAGTTAATTCGCGATAACTCGAACCTCCAAGAGATTAAAAAAAATAATTCGACTATAGCGAAGTCAAACTTTCAATGATGTGAGGCATTAGTTAGAGTTAGGACAATTTTTTGTTATTTCGCGACGTTAGAATTATCTTGTTCTATCTCCACTTTCTGAAAAAATTGAGTTAATGTAGTGTTGTGTTCCTCAAAATAATGTCTTTTTACTAAATTGAAACCTAAGTTATAAGTAAAAAAGTTGCGGAAAAAACGTAAGTTAAAAAAAAAAATTATACGCCGTCTCCTAAAGTTTTTGTTTTTTAAATCGTTTTATCTCAAAACTAAAAAATGTGGAGATAGAACAAGATAATTCTAACGTCGCGATTTAGTTCTAAAGTACAAGAATTAGTTAAGCACCATTATACTAATAAAAGCGTTTAAAATGTTTCAGTGAAAGAATTTGCGTATTGTAATTACGCAGTACACTTAAAAGGTAACTTTGAAAAGAGATTAGCAACACAATGACTCCTTTTTTATTTGGTAATAATTGCGTCTAAAAGGGATCTTTTATTAAGAATTTTAAAACTATAAAGTAATTGCTTTTTTAACGGTATTTTATCATGAATAATTTTGTAAGCGTTATTGGTCTCATAACGATCTCTTCAGGTGAGTTTCCACTCATCCGTTTTTTCACGGGAACAGGATAGGAAAGGAAAAAATAATCACGTGAGCATGCGTAGTTTTCCATCAGACATATTAAAACTTATACTACGCATGTCCACGTGATTATTTTTCCCGTCCCTTTCCCGTTCCCGTGAAAAAAACGGATGAGTGGAAACTCACCTTTCTATTCAGATCTAAATACAGCATTAATGCGTAGAAAAATAATAGGCTACGCTTATTTACGTTTTATATGGAATGATTTCTAAAAAAAAAAATTGATTCAGTTATTTTGATTTCTTTATTTCCAATACAAAATGTTCGAGTTAATCGACGAAAAATTGTTTTTATTATTCTTTACTTTTTTCTTTTTGGGAAAAAACCGTTTGGATTTAGGTCGGCAAAAAAAGAGCTAGACATTTTATGTTTAAGGTAGCAAAGTGTATTTTAGAGATTTCATTTTTAAAAATGTCTAATACTATCCAATTTTATTGCTTAGTATAAAAATAATACAGAAATTCTAAAGAAATACTTGATGATGAAATATTTAAATATTATTTTTCAAGTACAAAATAAATATGTCAATAAATATGTCAATAAATACTTTCAAAGTTACTTTACAATTGTTTATAAAAATAAAAATCTCTATAAAAAATATTTTAAAAATTGCTAATTTGCAGAATGCAAAATACGCAGTCATAGATAAGTAAACAGACATTGTCAATTATATCAAAATATCATTGACAATACACTCCAATTATAAAATAGTTGCATCAAAAATAGTCATCAAAAATTGATTATATCAACAATAGTCAATCTAAAATGGTAATAGTATAAGTAATAGTAACAGTAACATTGATTAACAATAATTATAAATAAAATAACTGTATTTGCAAACCTTAGCAGTGCTCATAATATCATAGTTACAAATATCAACAAGTGTATTGATATATGCACCCACAACACAAAACACTTTTATTAATTACACGATGATTGCTAACAAAACAGTTGTCAATAACAAGAAGCAGTTTATTAAACAACAATTTCCACAAATAAAAACTGTTGTAATAATTGTTTGATTTAAATACACTGGTAGTGTTGACTCTTGTTTCCGTTTGAAACACTTTTGGCACCTACACTTACAGCATATGGAGATTTTTGTTCATAAGAAAGAGTAGCTAAAAGATGTTTTTTTTTCACAGACATATTAACAGATTTTTTAAATGAACTATTTTCATTTGATTGTAATTTGGGTTTTCTAAATTGTCTACTTTGTTCAGTTGTTACTTGAATATGTTTATCTTCTAAAATATCATTTTGATAAATTGGCGATTCTAATGAACTTTCATTTGACAAGTCACTATTAGTACTTTCATATCTGGTTATTGTTACCATAAGTTGTTTTTTAAGATATTCTCTCCAAGCTAGCTGAATAACCAAAGCAGCAACTTCGTAGAGATTGTCATCATTTGATACATCTTCATTTTCAGTAAAAACTGAAGAGCCTGAGTTTGAAACCATGATACAGTTTAAAGGTTCAATATGTTTATTCATAACACTTGTCTCAACATCTTTCCTTTCAACATTATCATTAGTTTTTTTTGCAAACTTTCTATAAAAACGTTGTATCTTCACTGCTGCATCAATTTTATTTCTTATCATAGTAATTCGCTGCTGATCTCGTTTAAATTTACTCCATGGGCTATTTACATCATTAGTACAACATAAAAAAAATACAGAGCTATTTTTAGAAGATGATGTATCTTGAGAGGATATATTTTTATTTAAAGTTTTTGTAAATTTGGCATTATCTGTTGGTGTGCTGCTTTTTCTTGATGTAGGTGACAGGAAAGAATGACTTGTAGCATCATGTTTAAAAAGTGTTTTATTATTGTTGGAAGAAAATTCATCATTGTTTGATAATCGATGTTTTGATAAGTACTCTTTACTATTGCTGGAAGATGGTCGATATTTTGATGAAATATCTTTGTAATAAGTCTTAGATGATTGACATTTTGATCTCATTTCATTGGTTGAAGTAGAGTTTGTTGAGAATTGAGAATTTGATGTACTTTCATTATTGATACCATATCTACTGTATGATTTGTTATAATAATTATTATTGACTATATTAGCACCTGGAAGAGTTTGAAGGGCAGATTCCTTTAAATTTTTATGACTTGTGTTATTATTTATGTCTTTATTTGTAAATTGTGACTTTTGTAGAATATTGCTGTTAATATCATGGCAGTCACTGCCAGGTAATTTAGAATCTTGATGGAGGCCAAAAAATCTGTCATTGTTTTCTTTTACTGTTTTGTCATTATAAGTTTTGTATATATCATTAGAAAGGTTTACACTGATAACTGAACTTGGATTACTTTTTCTTAATGATAAAGGATTCTCATTAACTTGTAAAAACTTTGGTCCTTGCAAATACTCTGGCTTTACAAAATTATCATTTGCTATACCATATAATGAAGACTTTGGAGATGTGCTTTGGAAAGAAATGCTACTGCGTGAACTTTTCATATTTTCAAAGGATGAATCTATAACATTGTATACTCCTGAGTTATGTTGGACTTTGTTAACAGTAATGATATCTTCAAGAGTTTGAAAATTTCCTTTGCAATACTTTTCTTTAATATGTTTATTTGTGGTATTATAATTTGAACTCTTATGTGATTTTTTATAAAAGTTGTTATGTAAGTTATGATGTTTAATAGAATCCATAATTTTTCTAATTTTATAACCTTTCCATATTGCTTGAATTTTTGAGGCAGAAAAATCTTTTAGAAATGCACCAGTGTATGCATTATTTTCAGTAAGATAAAATGCAACGTCTTGATGATCCTCAAGATAAGCATAATCCAAAGCTGAAAGTTGACCTCCGTTGAATTCTAAAACATTAACTTTAGCATTAAAACGAGAGACTAGTAGTTTTACGGCATCTAAAGATCCAGATTTGCAAGCCCAATGCAAAGCAGTTCTACCTTCATTATCTTGATTGTTAACATTTGCCCCATTTTCTAAAAGAACACTCATACAATGCACAAATCCACCGTATGCTGCAAAATGGAGTGGAGGACAGCCTGCATTATCCTTTATATTAGGGTTGGGCTGATTCTGCATCAATATTTTGATAATATCTGTTCGATCCACCATAGCAGCGTAATGAAGGGGACATCTTCCTTCTAAATCACATTCTTCTAAACTTCTTGGAGAACAGTGCTTCAGTAATTCGTTAACAATCTCAGTATTTCCTGAAGCACATGCATAAAAAAGAGGAATATGCTGCTTGCCATCAGGTAGATTCACATCAGCACCATATTTAATCAGTAATTTAACACAATTCAAGTGACCACCTTGCGTACTCATATGAAGAGCTGATTGTTTATGAATATCAATTGCATTTACATGTGAAACTTCTTTACTGAGTAAAATTTCAAGGACTTTATCCCATCCTTTCATAGCTGCCCACATCAATGCTGTGCTGTGTTCATTATCAGGTATATCTTTAACACCTTTTTTCTCCAGCATTATTTTAACAGTTTCGTAAAAATTGTTTTGTGCCGCATATTGAAGTGGGCGAACACCATTGTTATCTCCTATATTATAATCTGCTCCATTATCAAGAAGAAGAGATACAATTTTTGTATTCCCAAGAACTGCAGCCCAGTGTAATGGTGTCCTTCCAAATTTATCACGTATATTAATTTCAATTCCATCTTTTGTAAGAACATTTTTTACTAAACAATAACTTGACTGTCCCACATACATATGTAAAGCAGATCGATTATCAGAATCTTGTCTGTTTAGGGTTGTATTATCCTCTTCCAATAATATATTAAGAATAGATGCATCCTTGTTTTCACTACACCAGTGTAAAAGTGTACGTTGCTCTTTATCAAAACTTTTTGTTGATGCACCATACCTCAACAATAATTTTACATAATCAATTCTTCCATAAAAAACACTCCAGCACAAAGCAGTCATTTTTTGATAATCTGGAATATCTATTTCTTCCTTTTTCATAGATTTTACAAGACAATGCATTACTTTTATGTTATCGTGACTTGTTGAGAAATGAAGAGGAGTTTTTCCTTCTTTATCACACTTTGTTTTATTTGCACCTTTTGAAAGTAAAATTTTTACAAGTCTATGGTTTCCTTGATAAGATGCCCAGTGTAAAGCTGTTCTTTCGTCAATATCAACATCGTCTATGCTTGCACCTTCTTTTAATAACAAAAGAACACAATCTATTTGATCACCAAGTATACTATAAATAAGAGGTGTTCTTCCCATATGATCAACTTCATTTATATTCCATTTGCCAGAACTTAAATGATCCTGCAACAACTGCTTATTGCCATTGATAGCTAGAAGATGTAAAGGTGAAAGTTGCTTTTTTTCACATAAAATATTCAAGTTTTCTGATACAACCTCCATTATAATTTGTTACACATTACTGTTAAAATTCAATTTCTTTTTTGTTTTTTCTTGGTTTGCAGAAACTTGCTAAGTTTGTTATGAAACATTATTGCTATATATTATTAAACTAAAAAAACAAAATTGTAAAACAAGTTTTATTTATAAAACAAATTATAGAATACACTATTGATATATATATATATATATATATATATATATATATATATATATATATATCTATATATATATATATATATATATCTATATATATATATATATATATATATATATATATATATATATATATATATATATATATATATATATATATATATATATATATATATATATATATATATATATATATATATCTATATATATCTATATATATATATATATATATATCTCTATATATATATATATATATCTCTATATATATATATATATCTCTATATATATATATATCTCTCTCTCTCTCTCTCTCTCTCTATATATATATATATATATATATATATATATATATATATATATATATATATATCTCTCTCTCTCTCTCTATATATATATATATATATATATATATATATATATATATATATATATATATATATATATATATATATATATATATATATATATATATATATTTATATATATATATATATATATATATATATATATATATATATATACACACACATATGAAAGAATTCTTAAATTTAAATTCGAACTCCGAATACTTCGACTAAATTATAGAACGTTTTACTGACTGACTGACTGACTACGCATAGGTAATTTACTTTCGTAAGCTTGCCTGACGTATCTTTAGGGGATACGTCAGGATTTGGATTTTGAAACGTTATGCTATTTTAAAACAATTAGGGATTTTACGAGAAAGATCTTTATTAAGATGTTTAACAAACTAGGTAAATGCAAAATACATAATATTTTAATAACAATTGTTAATTAAAATTAGGTATAAAATATATTCCCGACAGTTCAAATTATTTGAACTGTCGGTGCCGATCATTTAAACAACTTTGTTTACGACTTTATTTAAAAACGTAACAAACACTTGGTAACGAGTCACTTTTTTTTTAGCTTAACTAGGCAAAAAAAATAGCGCGATGCAGTGGCCTGATAAGGAGTATATTGTTTATATAACAATTGATGATTTTTTCATTGGTTAAATTTCATGCCATTATCACGTGATAACGAAGTTTTGTTTTGAACATTTTTTTGAGGGAAAATAGCAATCAAAGAAAAAATTATGTAGTGGAATTTTGCAAGATAGAAAAAGTGTTATTGCGTTAAAATATATTCACATATAATTACAGTATAAATATATAGTATTTAAAACGAAAAAATGGGTTTTTCATACGTAAAAAACCAAATCATTCCAAAAGTTATTTCATCTTCTGGCGGTAATAATGTCATTCTTTCAAAAAGTCCATCAACATCTAATGAATGTTGCAACCCAGAAGGACAGGAGTGTTGTTGTATTAATAATAATAATACCAATAGTAACAACGAACATCTAAAACAAGTTGGAACTTACCTTCGCATTTTAGGGGATATTTTAACAGCCGAAATTCAAAGAAAATGCGCTGTGCAAGATGATCTCACAGAAAATCAAGAAATTGGTGGGTAACACTAATCAAGATTCAGCAGAAAATCAAGAAAATGATAAAATGCGCTAAAAGAAAAAATTTTGTATTTCCGTAAAAATCTTTTAATGGACATGCCATGGCATGTTTTTTTCAAAGTAAATTTTCTCACGCTATTATGCTCAAAATGATTATTTTCAAGACTCGAATACGCATAGTCTACGTTTCTTGAAGTTATTGTTTCCGTTTTATTTATTGTCTGTCTGTCCAAAACATTTAAATGGTCAAATAATTCTTACTTTCCCTAATGAACCCAATCTTTTAAGACGGGATCTTCAAAGGTCGGCTGGTTTTAAACCGAAGGTAGCAAATTAGTTTCTATTTAAATTTTTTGTTATTTCTTCTTGCCACGAAACTTAAGTTCCGCGAATCATTTAACGCATTTTTTATTGTTTTAACGATAATTTTTTGTCGCGTTTATTTCCTACGGAAAGCAAAGAAATCATTTGACATTTGTTCTTTTTGAATTTGACTTTTAAACATCTGTTCACTTTGGGAACATATTTTTGTTTCTAAAATGGAAAAATCAGTTTTTATTCTTTTATGGAAGCATCTTTTTATTACACTTTAATACGGTTATTTGTTATTAAAATTTTTATTATTATTGAGATTATAATAGTAATTTTTATTATATATATATATTTAGAGAGAGAAGTATATATTTATTACTTCGCTTTATTTTAGCTCCATTGTAGATAGAGAGGTTATATGTTGATATTTCATTATTTTTATATTTACTGCTTTTCAACATTATTTATGGAGTCATATTTGTTTGTACATAGATATATAAATAGCTTGTATAATAAGTTCTAACGAGATAATTTAACAAAAAACATAATTTATCCACGTTTTTGTTGTTTTTTTTATCTTTTACTTGACGTCATGTTGATCTTGCAAAAATGTTTTTTTTTTTTTTTGATGCTGTACAAAAGGGTAGTAACTTTGTATCGAAAATTAAATAAATTTATAAAATTGCTGACTTAAGTCAGCAATTTTATAAATTTATTTCTTATTATGACTTAAATTAGCAATTTTATTAGCAAATTTATGCGTGTCTAAACACGCTACGACTTTTGTCGTGGCATGTTTAGACACGCCGCGACAAAAACAGTTAATTTCGCTAAATGCGAAAATGAAATCTCATTATTAAGAATTAAAACAAGTTTAATTATTGAAAATTAATCATCCTTGCATACAAATTAGTCATTGGTCATCTTTTAGTATCAAATGCTCGTAAAGTGATATTTACGTCATTTGATACTATTGACGTAATATCTAGTATCCAATGTGGATTCTCAAACAGCATTTTAGATGTTTGAGAATCCAAATTATTTTTGAATTTGAACATATTTTTGATTTAAAAATGTTAGATACTTGTAAGTTTAGGGGCGGCCGTTTTTCGCAATTATTTAAATACATAAACTTGATTTACTTTGAGATTAATAATGTAATTACTGTTTATAAATTTATTTACTTAGTAATAATTATATTCATTCGAAATCAAATTGTAATTAAACAATTATTTACTTTGTGAAGTGAAATGTTTAATTTTTTTTTAATTACGCATGTTTGATCGAATGACGACGTCTAAACTAATTGATTAATTACTTAAATAGCGTAAAAATAATTTATTTTTATTATTATAATTAACCGCTAAATAGTAATAATTTAAACGTTACGAAATCAGGGAAATCAGTGACCTGGGTAATTAGATAAAATGAATGAAATTATATACTTTATTAATCTTATTTTAAACGTTCATTTGCATTTTATTATGCATATGATATTTGCATAATAAAATCATTTGTTAGTAAATAAACACTTTTCTATAAAATATATTTAAAATTTTTTTTTTAATTATATTTTATAGAAAGTGACGTTTAATAAGTTTTTATAAAAATTTCTCATTTTATTTTGCTAATTATTGTAATATTTTGTAAACACAGCATCATCAAGTGTAACATAAACATTTCAATATACTGTACATGACCTACTTTACATTAATTACGTCAACAAGATAGAGGGAAGGGAGGGTCTGAATAGTTTTGATATTGACAAAAGGGAGAGGGGGAGATCAGGAAAAGTTAACATCAACAATTTTACTTTTTTTAATAAATTTAATTACTTAAAAAAAGAAAAAAGAAGTATGTGTTTTTTCCGTTTTAATTATTTATTTTTTGAGGAGGAGGAGGGGGGGGGGGAAGCAAATGTAGATGTAATTGTATAGTCTCTAGAAGTTTGACAAGTTGTTTAGAAAGGGCAGGGGAGGTGAAATTGACTAGTGACTAGGGAATCGTCCATAAATTACGTAACGAAAAATTAAACGTATAGACAAAAGATTAAAAGTTTTCCCTCTCAGAGTCTTTTTAAATCTCTAATTAGGGAGTTTATGCAACTTTTTTTAGCGAATGTAAGAATTTTTTATTTTTAATGCATTGGATTCCTTAATATATTTTATTTCCAAAATGGTTTCAACCACTTTTGTAGCTTGTTTAGTTCCAAAGATATACGACGTATTTTAATATTTTCAATTCGTAGACTTTTTATGAAATATTTTCTTAAAATATATCGTTAAATTTTTGGCACCGAAAAAAAACTTTTTTATAACTTTTTTTTTTTTTTTTTTGCGTAAAAAGATGTTTTAAACTTTTTTAACATAACTTAAATTTTTAAATGTTTTAATTTATAATACGTTAAGCGTAACAAAACTTTAAAAAATATAAATTTAAATTAACTTTTATTTGAACTTTCTTTAATGAAATATCAAGTAAAAAACGTGGACTCAAATAAAGCAGGCCGAAAGCGTCGAAATACGGACAAAATAAGTATAGAACTAAAATTTACCTTCACACAAATAAAATGTTAGTCAACAATTTGTTAATAATTTTAGTATAATCATAGATTTAAAAAGAAATTTAACCGCTTAGAGTCTGTTGTTTAGACTCTAAGCAGTTAAACTGCCCTAAATTAAGAGTAACCAATAAAATATAATAAATGTAAATGTTTCTCTAAGTTTTTTGTATAATTTTAAAAAATTTGATCGCTCTTTTCTAATAGTACACACACACACACACACACACACACACACACACACACACACACACACACACACACACACACACACAGATATATATATATATATATATATATATATATATATATATATATATATATATATATATATATATATATATATATATATATATATATATATATATATATATATATATATATATATATATATATATATGCCTTGGCTATTCCGTTCATAAATTAGACAAAATTGTCTAACTTACTTAACGAAGTGCACCAACGAGAAGGTAAGCCATAGGACTTTGCACTTCATCAGTGAGCTGTCATGTTGCAAGGTTAGCCCTCCATTTCTGGATTCTTTCCTTTATTTGATAAGCAGTTCATGTAAAAGTAATAATAACTTAGCCTAAGGTTAGCCCTCCATTTCTGTGATAACT